AGAGAGAGAGAGAGAGAGAGAGAGAGAGAGAGAGAGAGAGAGAGAGAGAGAGAGAGAGAGAGAGAGGTACACTTACAAGGCGTGGCTGACTACGCTATGTTTTTTGAATGACCATCCGAACAGGACAAGCTTCTTGACCAGTCAAGCGTGACGCACCTGTACCAGATTACAAAGTACATTGGGCTTCTGGTAACTGGAATGACTGGTTAGTGTCTTTCTCCTTTTTCCCCCTCCCCTGCCCCCTCCTCCCTACCCTCCTCCTCCTCCCTGTCCTTCTCCTCCTTCTCCTCCTCCTCCTCCTCCTCCTCCTCCCTCCCCATCTCCTCCTCCTTGTCCTTCTCCTCCTCCTCCTCGTCCTCGTCCTCGTCCTCGTCCTCGTCCTTGTCCTCCTTGTTCTCCTCCTTGTCCTCCTCCTTGTCTGCTCCTCCTCCTTGTCCTCCTCCTCCTCCTCGTTCCCTTCCGCCTCCTCCTGCTTCTTCTTCTTCAGGATGGAGAATCTCCTCTCATTTGGAATGCAATCCCATCATGAGGTCTTCAGAAAGAAAATGTGAACATATGCGGGCTCTGCGGGCAAGCAGGGGCAGCTCAGCAAGCCTACCCATGAAACGGAGGCAACGAGCCAGATGACAGGGACGGTGCAGCAAACACGCCTTTGGATTGACGGTATAATGTTAATTGATTAAGTAATCAGAAAAAGAAATACCCTTCGGATGATCGTATGCTTCTCAGCATCTCCTTCCCTTAAGAGCATGGGGGTTCCTTCTACCTCCCTCCCTCCCTCCCTCCCTTGTTTATGGGCGCGCATCTCTGCAGCTCGACCATATATATGCGCACCAGAAGGGTGGTGGTTTATGTACTCCTCTCAATTGGTATAAATTTTAAATGGACTTTGGCTTTAACCGATTGGTGTAAAAATCTTTTATGAAGGGTTTGCCTTTTTCTCCGCCCTGTCACTAGGTAGGTTGGGTACAGAGGGAGCCTGAAATGACCCTGTACGGGGCATGTTCAGGGCCACTCTTTTATCCTCCCGCCAGTGCCTCCACCCTTTTCTGCTTTACATCGTACATACCCTTTAGACGTGCTGTTCTGTTGATTGCCAGTTCGACGGTCGATTCTGTTGATTACCCGTTAGACGTGCTATTCCGTTGATTACCCGTTAGACGTGCTATTTGAAACGGTTTTCACCTTTTAGCAGTAGCGGATGCAGTACCCAGGGTTCAATCCCTAGACCTCACCCTACCCATGTACAGTATCTGTGTAGACCCCGAGAATTGAACCTGTGACCTGTGTATTCGTAGGCAGTTGGTAGACCTGTCGTAGGTCTATAGACAGCAGGGGTTCGATCTGTAGGTCTATA